CATTCAGCCTATAGAGCTGTCAGTTAGACATCCAATTCACTTTAAAATTTTAGAGATAAACAATGAAAAAGAAAAGGTAAATCAATGTAATGGATTTCTTACAAGCCAGGAAATAACATGTTCATACTGTTAGTTCTTCCTGGTACAGCATACTGCTATAGTATCTCATCCCTTGTCCCTTTTTGTCCCTAAGTATTCTTTCAAGGGCACAGAGAACTGGTAGAATGTGTGGCAGAGGACCACATTGTGACCCCCTGGAGCCATTTCTCCATTGAAGGAACAGAGGGAAAGCAGTCGAAGATAAAGTATTGACTTGACTGTGAATTATGCATTAGAAGGAAGTGACATCATTGCGCTCCACACACACCAGCCTCACTGCCTCCTCGCTCCTAGGCCATAAGCCCCCCTGTGTTAACCTAACGCGCTATTAGACTGGAGAGAGAAATGGTCCCCATGCCGTGTATTGTTAGAGGTGACTTTTTCTGAGCACTGGGCCGTTACTGGGGTGAGCACTTTGCATATGCTGCCTCTCTTGCTCCTCGTTAGAACTTGTGAGTTATAGGTGCCGTAACTGTTCTCACTATAGATGAAGAGACTAACTTATAGAGGATAGTAACTGCTCAGACAGCCAGGTAGTGAGAGAAGATGTAGGATTCAAAGCCTCGGTCAGAATGACTCAGGGCCCACTGGCTCAGCACTACGTGTTTGTGAACTGCGTTTTTCGTCAGTTAGATTGTTCTCTTGCTCTGCAGACCTCCAGCAGAGGCCGGAGGAAGCTGCTCCTCCGCAAGTGTGGGGAGAAAGGGGAGACCCCATGGAGGCAGTCACTGGGGGAAGCTGCTCCTCCGCAAGTGTGGGGAGAAAGGGGAGACCCCATGGAGGCAGTCACTCAGGGGGAGAGCATGTCAGAGGGAAAATCAACCTGAAAGTAGATCTTAGGTAAACCGAAGAGGAGATTTTGCATCTGTCTGTATACATCCCTCTCTGAATGTAGATCTTGAGAGTTGTCTGAGTGCTGGAAGCTAACAAAAATAAATAAATAAATAAAATAAAAATGGCTTCCCCAGAAGGACAGAGAATAGGTTACAAAAGAGGGACCCAAGCAGTTAATATACACTAATAATGAGAAAAATATTTTTTTTTAATCCTCAGCCAAGGATATTTTTTTCCATTTATCTTTAGATAGAGTGGGAGGGAGGAGGGGAGGGGAAGAGAGAAAGAAACATCCATGTAAGAGAGGCACATAGACTGGTTGTCTCCCGCACGACCCCGAGGCGAACGCAGCCGAGGTACATGCCCTTGGCCAGAATCGAACTCTTGACTCTTTGGTCCATGGGCAGATGTTCTAAGAGTTGAGCCAAGCTGGCCAGAGCAGGAAAATATTTTAATAAGCCAAATTGTCTGTACCAGGCATCCTCTGCTGCTCTCGCAGCTCGTCTCCCTTATTACTTAGTGGGTCTCTTCTACTGGGAGGCATGCGCAGGAGTAAGAATGGCCCTCCTGGCATTGCGCCTCCATCCCCCACTATGGACTTTGGCCAGGTTAGCCACTCAGTTACAGTGTCCTTTTCCCAAGTCCCAGCACACACCGTCAGCAGCCATGGTCCCCAGGTCTAACACTAACGATGTACCAGCACCTCAGCCTCCTGCCCCCAGTTATGGTAGATGTAGTCCGTGGGAAGAGGTTGTGGATTTACCTTTTGATTCTAAACTTTGAAAGTTCCTATTATTTCATTCAGGAAAGTATCTGTTCCTTTTGTGCTGCTACAGTAGTACCAGAGTGGCAACTGTTACTGGCTGCAGTGCTGCCAGTCTGGCAATGGCAGTGCCGTCGTCTCCCAGCTGCCTGTCTGTACACAGACCTCCCTCGGAGGAGGGAAGAGCTGGGAAGGAAGGAGGTCGGATTTTCCAGGCGTGGGGTGGAGCAGGGCAGACAGCAGGGTTGTCACACCTGTAGAGGAACATCAGAACCAAATCTCAGCCCTGTCACTTCTGTTTACAGTAATGTGAGTCTGACTGCTAGATTTTAAGCTTTTTAAGGGCAGGGCCTCCAATTTCAGTGAGTATTGCTGAAGAAAGCTGAATTGGAGACAGTAAATGACAACATAGCCAAGCCTTCTCTTCCATAATCTTTTTTTTACATTAAATGTATTGGGGCAACATTGGTTAATAAAACTGTATAGATTTCAAGTGTACAGTTTTATAATACATCATCTGTATATTGCATTGTGTATTTACTACCCAGAGTCCCATATATTTGACCCCCTTTATTCTTTGCTACTCCCCCCTTTCCCTCTGGTAACCACCATACTGTTGCCTGCATCTCTGACAACAGTATGTTTGTCTTGTTTGTTTGTCTTGTTTGTTCATTTATATCCATAGTCCTTTGTAGCCACCGTAGAATGCCCTCAAGGTACTTGAGCACAATGAGACAAGCGTTTCCTATTTCAAAAGTATTACTCATCCTCCTTTTGCACAGTCATGATGGTATACTATTCACTGTTTGAATTAACACCGATGTGTCTGAAACAGTCCAAAGGACATGCATGCTAGATTGCAACTTTAACATAAAGGTAAAAGTTGTGGTTTTGAATAATTAATCCTTCTTGCTGCTAGTTTATCCAGTCCTTTACAATACATTTTTTCCCCATCAGAGTTCTTGGTCTGCCTGTCCCATCTTTTGCTGAAGAATATAGGACCTTTACTTCCCCCAGAAGGACATCAGCATTAAAAAGTCCCCAGAAGATGACCCAGTTTTCTCCCTGTGCTCCTGGCCTCCCCAACAAACTCAAAATGTGTAAACCACCACCACCATCCCTCAGTCACTCTAGCTCTTTCCATCGCAGTGCTTTTCTTTCCTGGGAAAGGGGGAGGGGAAAGGCCTACCTTGGTTTATATTGAATTTGAGGCAAAAGTAGAAGAGCAGCGGTTGACAGCTGCCCTGTCCTGCGAGGCCCTGCTTCTTAGACCTCCATACCTGTGCGTTTAATCTGCCTGGAATACTCTCCTCTCCCTCCGAGTTCACCAGGGAAACTGCAATTGATCCTTGAGGAGTAACCTGTTCTGCGATGTCTTTTCCCGCTGCCCCTGCCCAAGCAGAGTCGGTCTCTCCTGTTTTCATAACATCTGACACGTCTCTCTGATAGTGTTTGTCACCTTGAATGCAACTATTTATTTACTGATCTGTTTCCTCCACCAGACTGAACTCCTTCAGAGCAGAGATTTGATTTAATTCATTTATCCCAACACCTCACACATAGTTACTGTTAAATGAATGCTATCACATTGCATTGACTCTGTGTGGAGCTCACGGTATATCAGTAAGGTGAGTTAGGATGAGATCATGGAAGAAGGCAGAGACTTTGATATGGAGTGAATTCCAAGGTGTGCATCAGCCTTCCAGACAATGGTTTTGTCATTTGGATGTGGGAATTAGAAGCCGAGCTACATGGGCTTCTGCGGATGCACAGAACACCTGTCTGTGGAAATGTTCCAGTGAGGCAGACCAAGGGTGGTTTTATGCTCTGCTGGAAGTATTGGTCCCATAATAAATATATCAGTCAGGATTCAAACGGGAAACAAGCACTATGACACTTCTAGAATAGGGAATTTGTGTTAGGAATTAGACCTTGTACAATCTTGGGCAAAGATGGGGAAACAGGTCCAGTGAGGGGAGTTGGAAGTTCAGGAGGAAAATCACTGATCAGCCCTGCTGAAACCATGGCATGGATGGACAGGAAAATCTAGAGGCTAGCACACCCGGCTGCTGGAGTGGGGCAGGAAAGGACGTGGGCGAGAGTGTCTGGGGTGCGGTCTGGACGTCAGGGAGAGACTGTCGCCTCTGCATAGCTGCCCTCCCGAACTTCGCTGCCAAGAACTTGGCTGTGAGCTTGGGGTCCTCAGTCAGTATGGCTGGTTGTTCTAGACACAGCAGGAAAAAGCAAGGACAGACTGACACCAGGGGCATTTCTACGTCTCCTCTATGTCTCCATTCACAACGGCCTCAAGAACGTTATGGTGGCTCCTTCATTTCCACCTTCCAAATCTCATACGAATTTCTGGTTTGCCCACGTCTAGCCCACAAGCATACAGGGAAATGGATTCTGGGAAACTGAATTCTTATTTAGCCAAGTTGACACAGTACAAAACCACAGCAATGTACCTCTAAATTTTGTAAATTGAATTTAGTTTCAATTTTAGAAGCAGTGCTTGCTTGAACGGGAAAAAGCAGAGCTAAGAAACATGTACAACTTTATATTTTTTGAAAAGGCATTCTTGGGTTTTGCCTAGTGATATACTTTACTAGCACACATTTCAGAAACAAATTGTTGGCTGTAAAAATTTTAAGGTGATTATATAAACATTTCTTTGTTTTTTGATGGTCAACATAGAATGTAAGTACGGTTTTTAAAGCCGGCATCTCTTGAGATCTTCTGAAAAAGGATCTAAGGAGAAAAAGGAAGTAACATTTATTGTGTGCTGTGTCATGAACTTCTTATGTGTCTTCTTTCATTTAATTCATATACCAAACCTGCGAGGATCCTAAAAGGGAAATAGCTCAAGATCAAGTTTATATAAAAAGGTTGAAAAGTCACCCCAGAATTTAGAGTAATTTGTACCTCGGTCTAGGTTATCTTTGTCTCTTGACTTAGTTACTTATTTACTCCTACTTTGTAATAATCTTTTGAAGAGTGGCTAACATACATTACAGTATGTAAAGCGAACTGATCTTGAGTACATCTCAGTGAATTTTTATATATTTATATATACATCCAGATAAAAATATAAAAGATTTTTGAATACCCTTGATTGATTTTCCTTGGGCCATTTGTACTTCCCAGGTAAACTGCCTTGTATATTTATATTTTCATACATGAATGGTATAATTCTTAGAACAAAAACATAAGTGGTAAAGTAAAAATGTTAAATAGTGTGCCTCATAACTGCTTTGAATTGTATCTCCTTATATCACTTTCTCTTTCTGCTTTTACCCTAATACAGGTAACCAGATCCTGTCCCTTGGGAGCCTCTCAAAAGATCAGATTTATCCAATGAAACTCAAGGGCATCTCCATCTGCTATTCAGCTCTCAAATCTGCCTTGTGTGGAAATTATGTCAGCTTTGGCGTCTTCAAGTTGTATGGGGACAACCATTTTGACAATGTACTCCAGGCCTTTGTCAAAATGCTGCTGTCGGTGTCCCACAGTGACTTGCTGGTAAGCAGTCATGTGTCATGGGAGTCTTTGTATGAACTGTGAAGTAACACCCCACAGGCTTGGAATTGTAATAATGAAGCCCAGGGACTTAGAACGGCACCAGGACAGTTTCTGTTTTAGGACGGCATCTTGATTTAACTTACAGACTTTGAACAACTATGGTGGCTCTGTTTATATAATTAAATGTGCAGATTTTAAAACTGCAGCTCCCACCTTCTGACAAATTAGTCATCCGGAGTGCTCCAGGTTCTGCACCTAGAGAAAATGTAATTAGCAATTTCAACTAATTGCTTACAACTCTACTTATAATTCAACAAAGGTCTCTGTTTCCTACAGCAGAAAACGTAGGGTTGGCTGCAGGATCTTCTCCTCCGATTCTCCTCTGTCTGCTTCCCCTGCTGTCTGGCCTTCATGTTCACTCAAATTCCGGCGTGGTGGACAGAGTGCTGATCTGGAAGCTGAGCGGCCTCGTGCATAGTCTCAACTCTGCCACTCACCGGTCATTTACCATGAATCAATCACCTTCTCCATTTCTCCGGGCTTCAATTTCCTCACCTTTATAAAATGAGTGAATTAAACAAAGTGATCTCTAGGTCCCTTTTCTACTCTGCCATCTAGTTTCTGAGATTTATGTCAGTGGTTTTCAAACTTTGAGGCCCATCAGGATCACCGAGGGTGCTTGTTGGAAATTCAAATTTCCAGGCTCCTCCACTGAGCTGTGTCATTATCAGAATTTTTTTTTTTTACATTTCTGCCTGGTTACAGAGAAGCTAATACACGCCCACTGTGGTTATAGAGATTACTTCAGGAATGCAGCGAAGTTCATACTCAGGCTTATCCAGGCTTTGCCACCTGCTCCCAACCCAAGGTTACAAGTAAGAGCTGGGGGGCCTTCCTCAGGCAGCCTGTGTGAGCAGTGCTCCTTGACATTCTGATGGGCTGGCGGTACCCTCTTCTCCCTTCTAGCCTGGTCTGAACAGAACCAGACCTCAGCTGAAGCCCTGGCGCCTCCCTGTCCCGGAGTGAGCGCCGACGAAGGGCGCCCGGGGGCAGAGGTCACAAGTAGACACATGAGTCAGATCAGCCTTGTGGCAGAGCCGCCTCGTTGAGGGCACTCTTCACTACAGTTGGGCTCCACCCAGAAAATGATGTAGTTGTAGGAATGTCTCTGATCTTTTTTCTAATAGACAAGCACACTTCTAACTCAGTCATTCTCAAAATTGAAGGTTCCTAGCACTCCCTTAGCGTACATTTTAAATGTCCATTTTTGGACCTCTTTCCTGAGCTTTTCATTTAGTGTCTGGAGTGGGGATCAGAAAACTGCATTTGTAACAAGCACCCCATATGACATGGTCATAATCTCACTTTAAGAAATACTGCTCTGGTTGATTTCTCTTCCAAGTGTGCTGCTTTCGATACTGGTTTGAGTTTTATTTCAGCTCTTCCAGATAGCTTTCTCATGTACTTATCTTTTGCCTGTAGTGGATGGTATATATTAAGCATTTACCAAATTATGATTTAGTTAGGTGGGTTGACATTGTGTAAGCAGAGCAGACAATAATGCCAGACCCTATGATAATAGTAAATTTCTTTGTGTTAAAAAGAAAACCGGTTACCGAGCCACTATTAGGCAGTATTCGGTGTTAACAGTATTCCAGTCCAGGAAAACAATTTACAGTCTTCTAAATCCCATACTGTAGAGATTTTATTTGTATTTAAGTGTTAGCATATAAGGTAAAACTGACATTACATACTATGCTGTAGCTTCAAATTAGGATTTCTGGACATGAAGAGATTCCTATTAGAACCCTTAATATGCTGAATTGAGAATCATTATGTCATTTGTTTCATATATGTATTTTATATTTATTTTGTTTAAGTACATTTGCCATTTCCAATAGTATAGATGCCAGTTTCCACTGGACTGTAACATGTCTTTTGCTTCTCTGTGGCTTGACATTCAGTATCTCTGTGTTGTAGCAATATCGGAAACTGAGCCAGTCTTATTATCCACTCCTGGAATGTCTCACCCAGGACCACATGAGCTTCATCACCAACTTAGAGCCTCCTGTCCTCCTGTATGTTCTCACATCTATCTCAGAGGGACTCACAACTCTTGGTAAGTAGCATGGAGAACATTGTTCCAGAGGAAACACTTTATGTGGTCTCTCTCTTTTTTTTAATCCTCACTCAAAGATATTTTTCCATTGATTATTTGTAGAGAGAGTGGAAGGGATGGAGAGAGAGAGAGAAACATCAATGTGAGAGAGAAACACCGATTGGTTGCCTCCTCACAACCCCATCTGGGGCCAGGCTACATGCCCTTGACAGGGATCAAACTCGAAACCCCTCGGTCCGAGCTCCAGTGCTCTAACCGCTGAGAAACCGGGTTTCTTAATGTATGGGTTCATTCAGATGACCCTCTGAAAAAGGGGGGAAGGTTATGTATGCAAACTGAAAGATTATAACTATTCCTCGCAAGTGAGAAAATGCTTTTGTTACATTTTGATACACAGATTATTTTTAATCAACTTTATTAAGGTATAATTTACACACAATAAATTTCATTCACTTTAAGTGAACTGTTCAGTGAGTCCTGACAAATGTACATACACAGTCATGAACCACCACAGCTAAGATATAAAACGTTTTTATCACCACCGAATACTCCCTCGCGCCCCCATCTAATCAATCCTTGCCCTCTAGCCCTAGCCCCAAGGAGGCACTGTCTACTTTCTCTCACTGCGGGTTGCCTTTTCCAGGACTTCATATAAGTGCAGTCATATCCTATATAATTCTTTGTGTCTGGCGTCTTTCATTTAGCATAGTGTCTGAGATTCATCTGTGTTGTTTTGTAAATCATTTAGTTTATCCCTTTCTGTTACTGAGCCTTATTCCATTTTATGGATTGCCACAATTTTTATATATTCATCAGCTGTTTGAAATTTGGGCTAAATTATTTAGTTATTTTGAATAACGCTACTATGAATATTGATGAGCAAGTCTTTCTGTGGACAAATATTATTTCTCTTGGGTAAATACCTAAGAGATATTTACCCAATGGTAAATTTCTGGGTTGTATGCTATGTATATTTTTAACATAAAAAACTGCCAAACTGTTTCCTAAAGTAACTAACATTTTGCTCCCCCTAGCAATGTATAAGGGCTCCGGTTGCTTCCTCCCTAACACATGTTACTATCAGCCTTTTTCACCTTAGCCATCCTAGTGGGTGTGAAATGGAAGCTGTGGTTTTCATTTGCATTTCACTAATGAATAATGATTTGAGCATTTTTTCATGCTTATTTGCTATTCGTGCATCTTCTTGGTGAAGTGTTTAAATCTTTTACTCATTTTTATATTGGATTATTTTGTAAGAGTTTGTTATGTATTCTGGGTACAAATCCATAATCAGACATATGTTTCGCAATTATTTTTTTCAGCCTTGGCTTGTCTTTTTATTTTCTTACTAGTATCTTCTGAAGAGTAAACATTTTTAATTTTAAGGAAGTCTAATTTATTATTTTTTTCTTTTATGGTTCATGTCCTTTGGGTTCCATCCTAAGAAAATTTTGCTTAATCCAAGGCCATAAAGATTTTTTTCCGTGTTTTTTCTAAAAATTTTATAGTTTTAGCTCTTATGTTTAGGTCTGTGATCCATTTCAATTAAATGTTTTTTTGGTACGTGCCCCTAGCGGGAACCAAACTCAGGACTCTCTGGTCTGCAGGCCGACGCTCCAACAGCTGAGCCAAACCGGCCAGGGCTCAATTAAATTTTGAACATAGTATTATGAGATAAAAGCTAAGATTTTTTTTAACATATGAATATTCAATTGTTCTAGCAAGTTTTGTTGAAGAATATCCTTTATCTATTGGATTACTTTGTGCCAATTCTACACTGCCCTGATTTTATAGTAAGTCTTAAAATCAGATAGGGATAATTCTTTAATTTTGTTGTTCTGTTTTAAAATCCTCCTGGCTGTTCTGAGTACTTTGCCTTTGTATATAAATTTTAGAGTCAACTTATCAGTTTCTCTTGTTAGAAAAAAAGAATCAACAGGGAAATTATGGTTGGGATTTGCATTGAATCTCTAGTTCAATTTGGGGAGAATTGACATGTTAGCAATATTGACTGTTCAATCCCTGAAAATGGTGTATCTGTCCATTTATTTAGATCTTCCTTAATTTTTATCAATAGCATTTTTGTAGTTTTAAATGAATGAGTCTTGTTCATATTTTGTTGTATTTATAATAAGTACTTTATGCTTTTTATGCTATTGCAAATGGTATTGAATTTCAAGGTGTTTGTTTGCATTGTTCTTTGCTACAATATAGAATTGCAAATGATATTTGGATATTAACCTTGTATCTTGCAACCTTGCTAAATTCACGTATTTATTCTGATAGCATTTTGTAGATTTTTTTACATAGATGTGTCTGCAAATAAAGACAGTTTTACCTCCTTGTTTTTCAATCTAGCAAACATCCTTTCCTTGTCTCCAGTGTTATGGAAAAAGCATTCATTGTTTCATCATTTAGTATAATGTTAGCTTTAGGTTTTTCATAGGTGCTTTTTATCTTGTTGAGGAAATTCCCTTCTATAGTTTTTTCAGAGTGTTATCATGGATGAGCATTGAATTTTATCAAATTCTTTTTCTGCACCTATTGAGATGATCATATAGTTTCTCTTTTTTGGTCTGATAATACATTACATAATGTTAATCATCACTGATGTATATTTGAATGTTAAACCAACCTTGCATTCCACACTTGGTTACAATGTATTATTATCCTTTTTATAGATTATTAAATTAAACTTTCTAAAAATTTGATACAGATTTTTACATCTTTGTTCATGAAAGGTATTGATGTGTTCTTCTATAGCTCTTCTGTTATAAGTTTTCTATTCTCAGATCTTTGCCTTATTTTAGTGTCAGTGTAGTGCCCTCAGAAAATGAGTTGGGAAATGTTTCCTCTTTGATTTTCTTCAAATTTTGTGTAGAATTATTAGTTCTTCATTAAATTTTTTGTAGAATTCTCTAGTGAAACCCTTAGGCCTAAATTACAAATTAAATTTCTTTAATGGATATAGGACTATTCAAATCATCTATTACATCTTGAATAGCACTTGGTAGTTTGTGACTTTAAAAGAATTTGTCCAGCCCTGGCCGGTTTGGCTCAGCGGTTGGAGTGTCGGCCTGCGGTACAGAGAGACCCGGGTTCGGTTCCTGCTAAGGGCATGTACCTCGGTTGCAGTTTGTCCCCGGCCCTGGTTGGTCGTGCGGGTGGCAGCCACTCTGTGTGTCCCTTCACGTCGATGTTTCTCTCTCTCTCTCTCTTCCTCTCTGTCCCTCCCACTCTATCTGAACAAAAAATGGAAAAATGTCCTCGGGTGAGGATAAAAAAATAAAATAAAATAAAAAAAAAAAGAATTTGTCCATTTTTTATCTGAAGTTCATCAGACATTATTTACATAAAATTGTTCATAGTATCCTCTTTTATACAACTTGTTTTCTGTAGGATCTATAGTGATGTTTCCTCTTGCATCCCTGACATTGGTAATTTGTGTCTTCACTCTTTTTTTTTTCTTGATCATTCTGGCTCTAGGTTTATCAGTTTTATTGCAAAGAACCAGCTTTTAGTTTTTATTAATTTTTCTCTATTTTTCCATTTTTTATTTCATTGATTTGATGTATGATCTTTATTATTTCCTTCTTTCAGTTTACTTTGCTTTTCCCTTTCTAGTTTTTTCAGGTGGAAGCTTAGGTCACTGATTTTAGATGTTTCTTCTTTTCTAATATACCCATTTAATGTTTTAATCTAAACACTGCTGCCCTGGCCAGTTTTGCTCAGCGGTTAGTGTCAGCCCAAGGACTAAAGGGTTGCAGGTTCAATTCCCAGTCAAGGGCATGTACCTGGGCTACAGGTTCGATCAACGGCCCAGGTAGGGGTGCGTGTGGGAGACAAACAATTAATGTGTGTCTCTCTCATCAGTGTTTCTCTCTCTCTCTTTCTCCCTCCCTCCCTTCCACTCTATCTAAAAAAGTCAATGGAAAAATACTTTGGGTAAAGGTTAACAAAAAAATAAAAATAATCTAGCACTGCTGTAGCTATGCCTCACAGAATTTTCATATTTATATTTTTTTCTATTGGGTTAAAAATATTTTCTGATTGCCCTGCTGATTTCTTCTTTTACCAAAGGTTGTTACTTAGGAGCACACTGTTTAATTTCCAAATATTCAGAGATGTTCTCTGTATCTTTTGGTTATTGATTCTCGTTTAATTCCATTGTGGTCAAAGAATATACTCAATAATTGTTTTAACTTTTATGTTTATTGAATCTTTTTTATGGTCCAAAATACAGTGAGTGTTCCATGTACACTTGAAATGGATGTGTATTCCACTGTTGTGGAAGAACATTATATTTAAGTATCAGTTCTAATTGATTGGTAATGTTCAGGTTTTTCCTATATCTCATTGGTTTCTTGTTTGTTTCCTCCTTGTTCTATGAGTTACCAAAAGAGATGTGCTGCAATCTCTGACAAAATTATAGGTTTGTCCATTTTTTCTTTCAGTTCTGTTGATCTTTATATAAAACATTTTAAAGCTCCATTATTAGGTTTATAAATATTAGGATTGTTATGTCCCCTTGATGAATTTTCCCCTTTTTGTTATGAAATGACCTTTTTTCCTCCCTGGAATATTCGTTCCTCTAGAATCTACTTTGTCTGACATTACTGGCCTCCTTAGCTCTTGATTAGTTAGCCTCTTTTTTTTTATCATTTTGTTTATAATCTGTGTCTTTATATTTAAAGTTGGTTTCTTGAAGACTTCAGGTATTTTATATTGCTGTTATAACAAGCTTTTACCAACTTGGTGGCTTAAAACAATGTAAATTGATTATCTTACAATTCTTTAGGTCATAAATCTACCATGGGTCTCACCAGGCTAACATCAGGTGTCAGCAAAGCTATGTCTCTGTCTGTCTTTCTTTTTCGCATTTTATTAATTTATTTTTGTTACAGATGTTTCTCCTTTTTCCTCCATTGACACCTTCCTCCCAATCCCCAGCACACCCTCAGCTTTGTTGTCTATGTCCATTGGTTACTTACACATGCATA